GAGACCACTGATTGATGAGCTCAAAAATCTTTGGGAGACTGATTTTAGGACATGGGATCGATACGGGGAAGAGTACTTTATGATGAAAGTTGCAGTGATGTGGACTATTAGTGATTTTCCAGGGTTGGGAATGTTAGGTGGTATTCAGACGAAAGGGTACAAGGCATGTCCCATATGTTTGGATGACACTGATGCTAAGTTCTCTCATGGTAGGATGTCATATATGGGGGCACGTAGATGGTTAGATATGAATCATACATTTCGAATTCAAGGGAGAAATTTTAATGGAAATGATGAGTTTCGGCTAGCTCCACAAACTCGAACTGCGATTCAAGTTTATAGGGAAACTGTCTCCCATCGATACCCTCGTTTGAGTTTGGTTAAAGAGAAGAAATCGAAACAGGTTTGTAAATCTATTACATTCAGAACTTATATTTACTTATCATATATGAAAATTAAACTAACATTATTGTTAACATTAGGGGATGAATGAGCCAAAGTTGTGTTGGACTCACAAGAGCATCTTTTGAGAGCTCCCGTATTGGAAGAAATCTAGAGTGAGACATGCCTTGGATGTCATGCACATCGAGAAGAATGTATGTGACAACATTCTTGGTACAATTCTGGGGTTTGATGGAAAGTCTAAGGACGATCTTAAAGCCCGCAAAACTCTTGAAGATATGCAAGCATCTTTGGCCGAAGAAACCCCGAGGCACCTCAGGAAAAACAACGCTACCTTACGCCAATTACACGGTAAAGCCTCAATTTCGCCTCGAGGTGCTTGATCAAATTGTCGCGGTTCAGTATCCCAGTGGTTATGCTGGAAGCTTAAAGAACAAGGTAAACATAAATGACAAGAAGTTTTATGGTTTGAAGACTCATAACTGCCACGTGTTGCTTCAGCGCATTCTTCCCGTGGTCATACGACYGTACGTGGCCAATCATGTYRCTRATGCAATTTGCGACTTATCTAGATTCTTTCAGATGTTGTGTGCTCGAGAGTTGAAGAAGTCAGATGTTGAACAGATGCAAAAGGACATTATTTTGATTTTATGCAAGTTAGAAGCGATATTCYCTCCAGCTTTCYTCACAATCATGGTACATCTCTGCATCCATCTTCCTGAACAAGTCTTCCTAACCGGTCCTGTGCATTACACTTGGATGTTTCCTATAGAGAGGTATGTGCACACCATTGATATTTAAAATTAAATATATTGAATTTATATTAATTAATGATCTCATTCTCAGGCAACTTGGAGAGTACAAGAAACATGTAACAAACACACGTTACCCCAAGGGTTGTATTGCAGAACGATACCTTATGCATGAGTGTGTGACATTCATGAATCTTTATTTGTGTACCGTACCAGTCGTACATAACAACAATTTGATGTCGGATTCATCTCGATGGAGCCTCTCAGTCTTGTCTGATTATGTTATCCTGAATAGTCGCCTCTGGAATGCCACTTTGACTAAAGAAGAAATGGAAACAGCTCGTTGGATGGTTATTGTTAATTGTACGGAAGCACAACCAGATATTGACAAGTTCAATGAACTTTATATAATACACTACCCGGAAGTACACCGCCATCATCAGAGACGAGTACACCTACTAATGGGTCACTTGCTCTAGATATACGTATCAATTGTCGCCGCACCCAAGTGGAACCGACGGAAGAACCGGTTACAAAGAAGGCAAGAAGAGAAATTATCACCGGAAAGGCGATTAAGAGAGACATTGCTAACAATGAAAATAAACGTCTTCCTCTTAAGTGGTCCATGGAAAAAAAATTGTCCGACACAAACAAAGTTTGTAGGATCGCAAAGCAAATCGAAAGCATTGTTCGTGAGCATATTCCAATGTTGACCGATAGTTATTTACAACTTACACAAGACGAACTCAAGATTGTGGTTGATCAACTTAGCGTAAGTATATTTTTTTGCTAGTTCTTTTTTTTTAAATGATTTATGTCTTATTAATTAATAATGCAAAACTTTTTATTTCATTTTGATTTGTATTTGTTTTTCAGGTTTTCTTTGAGATTGATTGGAATGGACCTCGGGGTGACGCATTATTTGATTGGATCCACCTAACTACGCGCCACTCATACAATAGGTGGAAAACTGATTGCCACATATTATATAAGAAGCAAGGTCGTCTCCCAATCCCAAAGAACTTTGTACATCGGCCAGATCAGTGGGATTTTTTGTGCACACTTTTTGAAAAAGAAACATGGAAGGTATTTAATAAGTAAATAATTAAGTATATAATTTTTTTTTAGTTGGATTATGGACTGCCTTCGTTTTAACTCGTTGTCTTTGAAGCTTTTACGATTGCTTTTATATGGCTTTTATATAATTAGTTTTTGTGCATTTACTTATATTGGATAGTTTGTTTGTTCGTAAGGTTTGCATGTACTCCCATGCCTTTTTGCTTTCCGTAGATTGTAAAATAAATGTTTCTCATGTTGTAGAATAAATCAAAGAGAATGACGGAAGCAAGGTTGTCAAAAAATAGGATCGAGCACAAATCGGGACCTACTTTGTTCCGGTTTAGGGATAACAACCTTGAAGCTACCGGACATGTGGCTCCTTATCTCGGTACAATTGCCGAGACCACTACAAGTGAAGACCATAAAGTAAGTAGACATGAGCTTTTGTTTTCTTGTGGTCATGATTTTTATATTTTTTTTCATTTGCTGACCAGCATCACTTTTTCACCTTGGACGCCCGTTTTAGCTTAGATTAAGCCTGAATTTATAGAAACTCAAAACTTAAAAGTTGTAGGACCGTTTGTTCCAGATCATCTTTAATCACTTAAATCCGAGCTCGGACAAGTGATATATGCTCGAAATACCATAGCCTCACAAAGCTGTCAAAAATATTTTTTATCCCCCTTTTCGTTCCAACTTTTCCAAACCTTTATACAATTGTTTGAATCGTATTTACAGAAACTTGTTGAGGAAGAGATTGAAAAGATTAAGAACGCTTCTGAAGGCACTCCGGAATCTGTCGGGACTCTAATTCGTTGCCTAATCGAAAAAGAAATATCAATCATCGAGCAAATTGTTGGTCCGTCGGTAGGTACGGTTGTTCGAGGTATGGGTAGCTTGGCGGTTAGACCTGCGAGGTTGAGAGGACCGGCGAAGGGATTCTCTAAGCCGGTATCTGCAGTTAACGAGGAAAATTTGCAGCAACAACTTGCCGAGCGTGACGAGGAGATTAGATTGTTAAAAGAGGGACAACATGAGGCAAAAAAGGAAGTTGCCGAGCAAAGAAAGATGATACAATCATTGATGACTATGTTGGCTGCTAGTGATTCAAACTCTAACACAACAACCCCGACCTCTCACGCTTTAGGTAAAGTTTTTAATTTTGTGTTATTGAACTTGTTGCCTACTTTTAGACTTATTTAGGAAAAACAATTATCTTTCAATTATTGAACTTATTAATTTTGTTTGGTTATAAAAGTTATTTGTATACAACATTTGGTTGTTTGTTTGCTTGTTTGATATTCATTTGTAGAAAGTGTGCAAGAAAATAATTGCATCATGGTACACAAAAATCTTAGGCAACAATTAAACAATATAAATGTTGCCTAAAAGAAATGTTATATTATGTTAATTACAGTTCGAAGGCAACATATCTAAATGGAGTATGTTGTCTAAGCTGATATCTTAGGCAACA